ACCGGCGTCGCTGGGCTCTGGATCCCGGTGGCCGTAACCCTCGCCCAGATTGCGCCCGCGCGTCCCACGCCGAGCAATAAGGTCTGTTTAGCCTCTGCCGCTTGGAATTTCCATCATGGCGCATGGTTTCAACGCCAAGACGAGGTGTTGGGGGCTTGTTGAGAGGGGCCACCGTGCCGGTGCGTTTTATGTTGTGTGTGTGTGTGTGTGTTTTCCCCACAGGGGCGAGCAAGGCCATAGAGGGTCGACCGGAGGGAGAGGGACGCGCGGGATGCGGCGGACGGCGTCGGCGCCCGCCGCCCGGCTGCGGAAGCGGGAGAGCAACCGCGACGCGCAGCGCAGGTTTCGAGAGAGGAAGCAGAAGTTCGAGGAGGACCTGAAGGGCAAGGGGGAGGCGCTCGCGAAGCAAGTGAGGGGCGGCCGTGCTCCACATCGATCCGCAATCTTGCCGCTTTTGGTACCCTTTGGCTGAATGGCCGAAGGCATCCGATTGGCGCTCACGGTAGTTTATTCTGGGATGGTGGCAGACCAGCTTTCTCCTTCGGCACGCAATATAGGACCTAGCCAGCCAGCTTGGTTTCGGCTCATGAACTGCAAGCTGAGTCTTCCGATAGGGGCCATGGAGGTTTCAAACTTCAGAAAACGCGTGAAGTGCGCTCACCCAGACCTCAAGCTTGCTCCGTTATGGCAGACTTTCTACAGCAAGACCATCGACTTTTGGGCCCTGAGCGTAACAGAACTATCGCAGTGAGCTTCGCGGACTCCTACAAATTCCCAAATCGGCGCTGCGAATTGCTTAAATGTTCAACACCCCACTGCAAATAAACGCAATTTAGCACCTTGCCTGTGCAGGCACACATGCTCTGCAACAGAAGCGGCGAACGCTATTGTTTTGCTGTGTGATATGACACCATGTACTCATTCATGTGCTCAACCACTGTGCTTCCAAATATCCTTGGTCTTACAAAGGATTTGTGCATCAAATGAAGCGTGTATCTGGCCGAACGCAGCACCATTCGTACAAATTACTTCTTTTCGCCTTGGGAGAAATTCCTACAGATAGCAACAATAGCTTTAGCAGCGGAAAAGATAAAACAAAGGTTATCAACATTGTGCATAGCCCGCCAACTCCGAGCCACAGATACTACGCGGATTGGATTTCTGCCAGCAGTTAACAAATTTGTTTCTAAGAAATATGTTGATGCTGGTGCTAATATCAGGCTGGCGGAGGCAACCATTGAAATAGCGAAGAATCCTTTGAATCACCCAGCAACAATCAATCATCAGACACAGGGAAATCGCTTCTTATCTTGAGAAAATGCATCATAGGTATGGATATGGATATTCCATAGATGGAACCATTAGCAAATTTTGCTCAGTGTTGAGCGTTGCACTGTTTCACATGTGCAGGTTCACGATCTGGAGATAGCATGCGCCGCCATGAAAAGAGAAATCGAGGTCATGAAGGCATTTGGACTTCCACCTCACTGATTTGGACTATGCTTTGAGGCTCCGGTCCTTTCGTATCAAAGGTGGATATTCGCATATGGCTTTGCCACCTCCATGGCAAGTTGTTGATACTCAGATTGAAAAGCAACGCCGTGCATGAGTCATCTTTGTGACTGTGGAGTATATAATGGCATAATTGGTGTTGAATGCCCTTCCTCACGAAGAATGTCTCCTATTCGCATTGGAAATTTTCTTTTGAGAATTCCATTTGATAATCACATGTGTGCGTTTTTCGGCAGAATGTGTCAGCTTAACAACGTTGAAATCATTGATGATTGCACAGTGACCGCTCTTGCCGTGGGTAAAATGCAGGACAGATTGAACTTTTCAAAGTGTTGGTTTGTGAAGCGAGATAAGTGCAATGCTTCGCGAATTTGAACTGATGAAGTTGCTTGGCTGAAATGAAAGTCTTCGCACGCGCAGGCAAATGGCGGAAGATATTTGGACTGGCCGGCATCACATAGGTGATTGGGGGCCTAAAGTAATTATGAAGGCGAAACGGTTCCAATGAATTGCGCCGGATATTGCGAGGGAAGTGGCCTTTGAGAATGTTCCCGTTTCTGAGCGGTGTTCCAGTTCCATCTCAGCCACAACTTGGGATTTTCGATTGGGAGGAGTTTGAGCTGACTATTAGATTTGACTTGCGCACCCTGCGTCCTGATCTGTATTAGCTTTGTCAACTATTATTAGGACCAAGAAGTATTGAGTTGGAAACACCTGGGAGAGAAAACTCAAATTTTTGCATCGTATTCCTGTACAACCTTCAAGCTTTGATGTCATTCTTTGTAGCAAAGCCAACAACAGGCCCTTGCCAACATCAATCATGGACGCTACCTGAATTCTAATGTGCAAGGGGACAGCAGAAGCCAGATAGGACACGTGTGAATCACCTCAGCTCTGCGAGAGTATAATTTGCTTGCGAAAGTAGCGCAGGCTGCGGTCAGCTTGCAGCTTACCACATATTTCATGTAGCCATCAGCTGGCATGAAGAGAGGTAGGGTGTCACTAGTAAAAGAACAGGCTAGATGACACAGTCCTGACACGGTCTATTCAAAATCCAACTGTGTACTTTCGGCAAATGTGGTCCCAAAAGTGCACGGTTAGTACACACATTGACACAGTTTTAACTGTGCATCCTAGGAAACCGTGTAGTCTACACAGTTGTTTGAGGGTACGCGGTTGAAAGTGTGTCAATGTGTGTACAAACTGTGTACTTTTGGGACCACATTTGCCGAAAGTACACAATTGGATTTTGAGGGGACCGTGTCATCTGGCTTGTTTTTCATAGTGTGTGTTGTCTGACCTCCGTGGTGAGCCTCACTAATGCTTTTGATGCTGTGAGGGGCCGCACTTGCACTCTTCCTCATGGCAGCCCCTTTGTGAAGCGGCTTACGGCTCGGCACGTGGATCTCCCTCATGCAACGACTGCTTCCATTATGGCTGCCATTGACTTCAATACTCCGCATTGCTGGAACACAGCCGGTTATCATACAGTTGAAACACAACAACGCGTATGCTGGTGTTGGGCGCTGAGTTACCACTTATGCATGGCCATGTCGGTATGTCTATTGCTCTCATATGCACCGCAAGTTGTATTGATCCATTCACATAATTACATATAAAGATAATAGCCGCCCCCATTTCGTTGACATCAATGCTTTTGGCGAAAACCCTTGCATGGTTGTTTCCAGATTTCCTCGCTTGGTGTTGCACTGAATTGCCTCCGCTGTCCGTTGTGGTGAACAAAAAAAACATCTTTGAGCAGCTGTTGGAGCTGATTGCCATGCAAAGGTCTGCTTCTTTTTCTCAGCCGTTTACCTACCCAACAGGTCCAGAATTGTTTTCGTGCACAGGCAGCACAGCCGCAAAACTACCCAACTAGAGAGGAGCCTCGCAAATGCGGTGCTCAACAACTTTCCTCTTGTGTTTACGGAACAGTGAATTTCTTGGTTCAGCCACGTGTTGCTTGTTCTGGTGGTTCACACGAAATATGTGCCATAACTTCTTTCGTGAAGAGCAACCATGGCAAAGAAGTTTCCCATTGGAGCCTTACGTTGGCAACGGGGGGATGCGGCACGAGATTTCCTGTTGCACAGTTGACTCCAATTGTATCAAGTGAGCCACCACACCGTTTGGCAGCGCAATCCGGCCATGAGAATGAATCGCGTGTAGACACACAGGCAGATGACAAATGTGTTGCGGTAGATGGAAGGGGCGCCAGCACACCGCTCATTTTCACTGCTTTGTTCATGGGTGTTGCTTGCCTCTGAGCATTTTCTTCACTGATTGATAATGCTGAAGGTCTCGCAGTCAGTGTTAGCCCACTCCGTGTGTTAATTAATTCCTAAACGTGGCGCTGCTGTCATGGTCTGTGTGCCTGACGGAATTCGGTCCTTGTCTGAAAGTGGGTTATGGGGAAAGCTGTTGTGATGATGCTTTGAATATGCATGGATAAGGTCTCGAATCGCGGTGATTAGCTGTCAGGGAAGAAATCCAAGCGCCCCGTTCTGGACGATTCCCTCATTTGTAGGAGCGATTTTTGTCTGCGTTGATTGGACTTGGTCGCTTCGCTTTTCTACCGGGGCCTGCCCTGCTGCCGCAAAGCACCCTGTTTTGGACCACAGGAATCCACCAATTGGCAACAGAGGAGACCACCCTCACGGTCATCCGTTGCCTTCATTTGCTTTGGCTGTTGAGCACACGTTGTGTACCTCCAAAACCACAATCTGCCACGCCTCGGTGATAGGTCGCTGGCTGGTTAGCCACTAGGGAAGCGCCCCCGGTGGAGGCGGTCTGGGAACGATCTGGACGCAACAGAATTACGGACAGATCCGGATCTGTTTGGGATCCCTTGCAACCAGGCCATCCATTCGGCCCCTGCATCATGATTACGTCACAGCATCATTGCCCCAAACACCCTCTCTCTGCTGATGTGGACCCTTTTCCCCGGCGCTTTCCAACTCGGCCCCCCGAATTCCGGCCCTTCCAGCCAGTCCGCGTCCGCAGGTTCTCCAGCCGCACTGAGAAGCAGCGGTCAGCCGGATTTCCGTCACGCGCGTGTGCCCGAGGGTTCCCCGGAGGCAGTTAGGAGGTGTGTACGAAGGTTTTGATGGGACGCCCCCGGTCATACGTCATCACGTTTAACAGTATCCGAGGTCAATATGCTCTGAGGTGAGTGCCGGCAGGAAGGCGTCCATCCCGATCGGGAGCTGAGCCTTACGAGGGCCACCGTTGTGCGCGACCGGCAACGGCGGCGGCGACTGGACCGCGGTCGGCTTGGTAAAATTCTTGGCCATAGGATGGCGTTTGGGCGTGTGGCGCAGCACGGGATCCAGGCGTCCGCGGCCGGGGTGCAGATGGAGCTGGACATTCGCAGCACAGGGGACAGGGAGGTAACGCCAGCGTTGGGTTTGATGGAGTGTGGTGGACAGGGGGCCGAACTGGGAACTGCGCTCCAGGAGCTGGGAGTGACTTTCCCCAACGGCGGCGCGATGCAACTGATCCTGCTTGATGCCCTCGACTCGAATGTCGTTGGAGGGATGCCGTCAAACTGGGCCGCGGGGTTGGCTGGGGAGGCGCCAGGGGACACGTGTCGACAGGCTGCAGCCAGGACGCCGAATCCCCCGACGCCGAGGTGAGCGCCAATTTTCGGAGGCCTAATTGCGGAGGGCAGGCGCCGGGAGGCCGGTGGGCGTTTCGGCGGCGACTGGCCCAGGGACGGTCAACAGCCGCCGGCCTTCGAGATGCGCGATGCCCGCAAACGGAGGCGTCCGAGATCTCACACTATACCAGCGAGGGCATGCCGTACTCAGAGCCCCCGCCCCGATCGCCACCTGGCCGGTATCAGTTCCCCGGCCTCCCGATCTGACGAGAGCATCCGCCGTTCAGGGTCGCATTCTGCCCCGTGTAGGTTCCTGTCGTCACCACAGCCGGTTCCGGCAGGCCGCCGAGGGCGGACGCCCGCAAATAGCCAATGGCGGCGGTGCAAAGATTCGTGCGTTTGTGGTTGTTCAGCAGAGGGGACGGCGCCCCGTTGGGGTCTCCCGGAGGAAGGGGCGCTAAGGGGAGGTGGAAGTCGATGGCGGCGGGCCGGGAGCCGTTGGATGCGAAGAAGCGACGGAAGCAGGAGAGCAACCGCGCGGCTCAGCAGAGGTTCCGGGCCAGGAAGGTGGAGCTGGAGGAGGCCCAGAAGAGGCGTCGGGAGGAGCTGAGAAAGCAAGTAGGGTTGCGAGCGTTGCGTGTGTCGACCGGGGTGTCGGGTGTCTGACTCGGACGTGGCTGGGCGGCCGGGTGGGTTTGGGGAGCGGTGGGTGGCGGCGAGGACGAGGGACTTGCTGTTGGTGGGCTGTCGAGGGCGGCAGTGACGGAAAATTGAGAATTCTGCTTCATTTGGGATAATGCTCTGTTGGCTTGACACATTCTAAATAATCAACACGTTTAGCTGAGTACCTTTTCCTGCGAATGGCATTACACGCGCACGTCTCTCCATCTCGGTGCGTTTCATCACGCCCCGCGCGGGCGCAGGCCATCCACTCACCATACGTCACCTTTCCGCATCCCTTACAGCTTGCCCCTTTGGTCCGCGACGCCGGGGCGTGTGTGCCCGTTCGTGCGCCTCGGTAGTTTGGAGCATTTGGTCGGTTGTGTCGAGTACTTGAATTCCAAATTCCGCTTTGGATTGGGATCCTTAATTCGGCGTTCATTCTGGATTTAATCTCATTTCCGATGTTACCCGGCAGAACCGGACCATGTGTGCAAAGGATACGGGTGGCTGGGGAGACAAAAATGCATGGCAGCACAGTCCTCGGCCGTCCGCCGCGCTTGCTTACCATTCTGCTGTGTGTCGCGGCCTTTCGCTCGCCGTCTGTGTGCTGTGGGCCTGCGCTCACTCAGCGAGTCCGTCTGGCTCGTTCCGCCCTCACGCTTAAGAGGTCCGCACCCGCGTGGCTCAGTCTCCTAAACTTATTGGTCAGGCAATTCGAATGCCGTTTGGTATGCACGGTGCCAGACGCTGGCTGGCGCAATTGGCCCTTTTGTCCTCGATTGGGAAATACAACTACCGCGCCAACTGATTTAGGGCCTTGTAGGGCCTTGACAAATCGCTGCTGTTTTGGATTCTCGATTGGCCGCTGGTGGGATTGCTGCATCCCACAGGTGTGTCAAGGGGCCCAGCCAACACAGCATGTGGGGATATTTCCGTTGCCTGGATACTGGTATGCATATCTGCGGTAGACATGCTTCTGGGTTGCCTTGGTAGTGATCTATGCATCCAAATTCAACTTAAGGTGAGGCAGTGTGAGGTCCACTGGTGCCGATCAGCCATTGCATTGAGTTGATTCCATGTTTATTGGAATGGCAGGAAATGGTGAACATAGAGGACAAGTAAACATAGGCGGGTACGAAACGCAGCAGTACGTGTAGAATGTGACCTAACAATTGACATAGTTGTATGTATGCAATATCTGGCGTTGAATGTGGTGCTGTTTTCACCCTTTCGGTGTGACACAGCTCCACAAGCTGCAGATGCAGTCTGCCGTTTTGAGGAATGAAAACGAGGTCCTGAGGGTACTGCTGGAGCTGCCAAACGTTGGTCAGAAATCCAAGGGTCCAGGGCTCCACACGCCAGAGGTACGCAGTTGCGAAGTTCCTTGCAAGTTTGCTATCAAACTCGGGAAGAAACGTTGCTGGGAGAGGATTCCCAGGGAAGTTTTTGGTCTTCCAAACACTGAGAGCGCTGGGGGCCAGTACAGCCGGTGCCCAGTTTGCAATTTTTGTCTGCACTCCAACATTGTTCAGATGGCCGATTGGGACTTAGAAACTCACAATACCATGAAACACTAAATACATCGTCAGAAAACAGATTGTCATATCTTGGATGGGGGCGCTGCAGGCACCCATATCCAGGATAAACAGACTATTTTGTGACGATGCAATCGTGAGAGATGCAGTCATGTGGTGCCAAGCCACATTGTGGATATTGATGTCCAGAACATGATCGTCCATGTCCAGAATGCGGAGTACCAAATCCTGGATGTGGAGCGCTCATTCAACATTTAGTGCCCATACTATATTCAATGGCCAGGATGGGGAGCTGTTTTGCTGATGATGTCACGGTCGAGTGGAGGAAAATTTCCACTCATTCGTTTACTTGACCACTTAAAGTGTGTTTGCGGTTTTGATGGTGGACAGCGGCTTCACAGATGTGGTACGCATGTGTGTTTAAACGAAAGCTTTCTGCTCAGGCGTGGGTTTCTCCGGCATTGCAGGTAACGGCCTGAGGAACGCTGGAAAGCGACGTGTGAACACTTTGGCGAACCAAAGGGACGTCAAACCTTGCGAACAACCCCAAAGAAAACTGTGCTGAAGGTTCAAGAGTGCGTCGAAGAGCCGCCTCTTAGCAACGCTGCGCGCTGAGCTCAATGGAATCCCAGATCTGTGTTGATTTGTGTGGCTAAACTTTTCACCTGCTGTTGGGGGCCCGAGAGGTGTAGGGGGTGGTGTTGGACGTGGCATCTTTCGGGACGTGTGCCCTGGATATGATGTGGGAGCGTGTGGCCATGGTGTGGGGTGGGCTTGAAACTGACTGTGGAAAGAGCGATGGTTTAGTACAGTTCTTTTTTTTTTGAAGTGTGCGATCAGATGGCGATGTTTTGTTGACTGCATGATTCCTACGCCAGTATTCAACAGTTGCTGAACCTCAATGTAGTTTCCTTCGCCAGTTTTTTCGGTTCCGTATCTCTTTTTTCAGTCGTTTGTCGTGCCGCACTCCTACGTTTGTCGTCGCATCCTCTTGGTGCGGCACCGCAGGATGGCTGGATTTCGAATGACAAAGGAGCGACACCCTGAGCTGAATGGCCTTTGAGCACACCCGACGTCTTTGGCTCAGCAAAAAGTGATCATGGCCGCATCAAATGCGCACAAATTACTTGCCCTCCAGAGCCACAGCCAAAATGTGGCTTTTGAAGTGGCTGGGATGCCTGCCGCTGCTTCGCAGTTCCTACCTTGGCACTTCTTGCTGGCGCTGCTCTCCCTTAAACCTGGCCTGGTGCGTTTTAGAAATTTGGAAAATGTCGTTTCAACGACGACGATTCTCCTCTTATACGGAACCTGTAGCGTATAACACCTCTCCCCCCGTCATGCGGATTCCCTTAAAGCCCAAACCTGATGCGTCACGCCGGGCGCCATCACCCTCATGGCATCACGCAACCCAAGGTAGACGTGGGATGTATCCGAACATGCACGGACGACTTGCGGTTATCAGACTTGTTTCCAAAAACGCTTCTTTCGTGTCCATGTACGTGGGTGGGTGGGAGAAACACATCCTCAATCATGCATCACCTACTCTTCTGTCTACCGCCGGATGGCCAACGAATGCAACGAAGGTCAAGGCCCATGTATTGGACTTCGATAATCAGATCCCTGTTTGGGCACAAATTGTTTGGTACTGACGAAGGCAGGCAGGATCGAGGGGTGGCGATCCCTGAGCGGGAATTGTACGCTCGAGTCCACGGCAACGGTTTACAGCCCAGGCAAAAGGACAAGAGACATTCCGCCCTTTATACTCAGTCTGTTCATCAACATCTTTAATGCAATTCCTAGTGCTTCGTCATCTTTTCATGCATTCAGTTATTAGTAACACTCAATCAGTTCTAGCCGTAACAGTACGCACAGAAAATTGGAATCCAATTTTGTCGCCCTTTAGCTGACAACGCCTGCATCGACAACAGTGCATTTTCCAATAACAGGAGAATGCTTATTCGGGTCATGTTGATCAAGGCCATCGACAGTGCCGCCTCTCATACATCGGGGTCCGCCAAGATGCAGCACGTGGCCGTGTCGAAAAGGGTGTCAGTGGTGCGCCCCTGTCACCTTGCATAAGCCACGCGCCAGTCGTGCGCAATCTTGCACACTTGCCGAAGGCCAGTATCGGGGACCTACGGATGCCAACTAGCTAGGCCAGGAGGCAAAGGATCAGGGGTCCAGGCGAAAAGAATAAAGAAACTGTCAATGCTAAGAGCCGAAAAGAAATTCAACTAATTTCTAGGAACCATGAATGGCTATCTGCGTTGGAGGCGAAGGATGCGGGCAGCGGCCGTCCACGCCTGCCCACGGCGCAATATTGTGTCGTGTCGTTTTGGCATGAGAGTTTTAACTCTTAAGGCAGGGTTCGACCTGCAAAGTAGGTGTGAGAGGTGCGCACGGCCGCGGGTATTAGCTGGTACCATTGGCAAGAAATAGGATATTCTGAAGTTCCGTTCTCATCTACTTCTGAAGTGCATTCCACTTCAAACCCTGGTAATCTGAAGTAAACTTCGCTTCAAACTCTTGTTCAACACCTACACCAACTATTAATACCATTCATCCCGTTCATTTATCAGGTTTTTGTCACCATGATTGGCACGCACCCATTTCAGTTGAATATGGGAGATGTGGATACAATTTCTGGGGCAGAGCGGAGGGGCACATAGGTGCCGTTGATGAGGCATAGTGAAAGGAAAAGCAGTGTCGACTTTTGTTGTATTTTCAGCCCTTGTTTCTCTACTCAGACACGATTATAAATTGTTTGATCGGACCGGAGCGCTGACTGAACTTGCAAAAAATGGCCAATGTTTACAATTGATTTGATAATCTGGCGACCAATACCCAAATTCGCGGTGCAGATCAGTGTGGCCATCAAAGCACGTGTGGCCATCAAAGCACGACCATGGATGGCCGCAGAGGCCGAATGCCGTCTCTCAACAGACAGTGCACAACAGCAAACACGACAAATGACACAAGAGTTTTGAGATCCTCACAAAATTGTGGGACTTTGAGATTCTCATTCATGATTAATGACGCAGGCGCCCTGGAATGCAACAGGAGCAATATCCAACACAAGGAAGGCGGAGTTGAGCGCAAGATGATGACACACACATGCACTTCTGGAAATCTTATCCCTGAGCATGATTGGCAGGCAATGAAGCCAAGCTGGAACCGCAAAAGCTGATCGAAATCGAGACAGGAGGATCAATCTACCCATGGGCGCTTGGATGGTAGCTTTGTGCCGCCAGGTACCGCAGATAATTGACATATTAGGTGAAGAAGTATAATTTATAAAACATCGCATCAGCCCAAGAAACATGAGTGTGTTACAGCAGTGCAAGAGCTATTCGCATATTCACGTATTCTATACATATGCGTAGAGAATTACTCCCACCAGTTGTAAAACAGGCTAGAGGATACGGTGGGGACACGATCTGCTCATAATCTAACCGTGTCTTTTCGGCAAATCTTGCCCCAAATCACGCGGTTGATACACGCATTACCGCGGATGGGACACAGTTCCAATTGTGTACCCTAGGGAAACGTGTATTATGCGGTTAGTACATGGCAATGTGTGTATTAACCGTCTGATTTTGGGACCACATTTGCCAAAACGACATGTTTGGATTTTGAGCAGACCGTGTCATCTGTCCCGTTTCTTTGCTGGTGTCCCAAGAGCCATTAGCAACAGTGGCTTCCTAAAATTCGAGTCACGTCATAGAGGCCATTCAGTAACCTGTTCAACCGTCCAACAATTACCACTGCTGCGCATAGATGGAAAGAAATTATGCAGGTTTCCTTTTTCATAAGCCACTGGCACGTTTTTTCAAATCCAACGTGGTATGAATGTATATGAATACCTCTAGAAAGAATCCGATTCCAGCTCCAGTAGAATCTTCACACGCCTTGCAGCCAAAACTGAAGACCATCAGTCAGTCATCATATCTCCATGAAATTGCAGACTAGTAGGTAATTTAGTTGACACATCCTGAGCATCAACTTCATGAAGGATTTACTCTTCGCCAGGTTGCAATATTTGCGATGCCGAGATTCAAGGAAACTGCAACGAAACTTCTCACAGTACATTACCTCCCTCCAAGCTCACTTCAGCTCCCAGGCCAATTGACCACATTAAACTATTAGATCATTTGTAGTTCTTCTGCCCGTCAATAGCTATTTTCTCATGACAAAGGCCTCTCCTTCACTCTTCTCAATATCCTCGAGAAAATCTTTTTTATTCGGAAACGAGATCTGGCCCCATCAATAAATTTCGTTTTCTGGTGTTCTTACAATCTTTTACGGTAAAATTGCGGAAGATACAAGGATACCAAAATTTAGAGCTCCACGGTTGGAGCCTGCCCTCGGCTATGGTTGATGAGGTGTTCAAAGACTCCCAAGCATGCTCTTGTAGCCCAACAGGTGCCTGCGAATTCGCATCGATTTCGTAGAGACTGGCTCATACATCAATAAAAACTTTGTCGATTGGTGGATGATTTTGAAGTCTGTGTGACGCCTCAGTGTTGCCAGTTCTAAATAGCAAGAAATTCCATTGCATTTTCCGAGGGGGCGTGCATGTGTACTGCTACAATAAAAAGCAGCACCTCCCTGTGTTCTATGTGACTAGGCATCAATGACTTCCGTTTCAGGAATGCGGCTTCCCTGATCCCAATCAATAGTAGTCAGCCCAGGACCCATCCTTCAGGACTCGGGCTTTAGACTGCAGAATTCGCTTACGTTTTGGGGTGGAGGAAATGCAGAAGGCTTTCTGCGCCAAAACCTTCAGAACAGAGCTGCTCGCTGCAGCCGCTTTAGGCACGGCCCAAAACCGTACATGCATCGAGATCCGCGCACCCCAAGCGTCTCTCGTGTCGCCACGCCGTGGTTGGCGATTGCATTCTATTGTCCTTGCTGCAGAAAACGGTGCAAGTGTCGCTTGCGCTCGCTTTCCGCACCGAAAACTGGTTTGCGTTTGGGAGCCTATGCATTTTCACATGCGGCATTGCGTTCCGTGGGCCAACGTTGCTCCATTAGTGCCTCCTGAATGTGAGACCTCACAGTGGAAGCAGGATTGTATACAACAATACGCTATACTGCGTAGCTGTACAAAAGCATGACCCTGCGGGCATGCCTTGCACAGAACACACCATGGATGATGCCTGAATGGCCTTCAGATCTGTAGACTAGGTACTAAGTACCGAACATGTATCAAGTACCAAAGACTTTTAGTACAGCCTCAGAGGTTATGTGATTGAAGGTGCAAGGGCAGCTATCTAGCAGTCCGGTCGTTGTCGCTGCGCTGCTGCTGCTGCATGGTCATTTGAGGGGATCTGGAGGAGCGCTTCATCACATAAAACCACGTAAACTGTGACTGCAATTCTTTGTTATTCAATGCAGTATTCCTAATTGAGATGCCTATGAAGGCACTCAGGGTGAACTGGCTGTGGCGACACCGCCTGCCAGCATTGGTGCATGGATA